CCTTGCTCCGCTTCGCGGGCACCGTTGAGCGGCTGGAGCCTCTTCCCTCCCGAGCTCGGGGGGCTGTGGGGTCCTGGGGGCTCTGCCTTGCGTGGCACAGCCCCTCTCCTGGAGAGTGTGGTGCCTGAAGTGGCTGTTGACGTGCTTTGGTGCCTCTTAGCTTGTATTTTTGAGGGCATAGTATGTGCTTTAACATCCATGGGGGTGCCAGGCTTGTACCAAGGCAGGGTTTGGTGTCTTCAAGAGTCGTGGGTAGGGTTGAACCCAGGTGCTGTGGGTCCTCAGCTGGAGCTCGTGCTGTGGAAATACCTTCTCTCACCCACCACTATCCTGTGGAACCTGCTGGGGTTCCTGCAGCTGTAACATGTGTGCTCATTTCTGGTCAGTCAGCACACACCAGTGGGGTGAAAATGAGATGTTCTGCCTCTGGGAGCCCTTGTTGCTGTGGTTGGCTGGTAACAACCATTTGTACCTGCACCAGGGTGTAACAAGGCTGCTTATTTCCTCCAGTAGGTTGTTGCTGAGTTTAGTGGAGATAGAAGTAAGTCAGGAGCAGAAGTGAAGGATGTTACTGGCTTGACGGCTCAGCTGGAAGTTCCAGCAGCTTCTGTGCTTGTGCTGTCTTGGGTGTCTTGTGTCTTTTGGGACAGAAGGACCCATGTGGCTATTACCTGTGCTTGTGTGAGAGAGAATTCAGCAGAATTAATGATGCCTGATGAGTGGTGGTGATTAAGGAGCACTTTTGGATTTGTTCTGTGTTGGGAACTGGTTCCCTCAGTTGCCTCTCAAGTTGCCTCCCTTTTATTTTGTTGTGGCTTTTCTGCCCCTTTTCATCTACTGTCACTTGTTCTTTAAGTTTCTTCTCCAAGAAGGTACTTCATAGGATAGAATTTCATGGAATAGGGTGGTTTGGCTTTGAAGAGACCTTAAAGATCATCAGGTTCTACCCTCCCTGCTATGAGTAGGGACACCTCCTACCAGCCCAGGTTGCTCCAAGCCCCATCCAACCTGCCCTTCAACACTGCCAGGGATAGGGCAGCAACAGCTTCCCTGGGCAACCTGTTCCAGAGCCTGTTTGGTGCTTTTTGCTGCAGTTTTCATATTAAGTGTTTGATGGTGCTTTTTGCTGCAGTTTTCATATTAAGTTTTGATGCTATCTCTTTTCTTTTTTATGCCTTCTGTTCATCTGCTCAGGCAGCAAACTCTCTGAATTCAGGCCTATGTGGGGCTTGCTTCCTGCTCTGAGTCTCAACACTGATAAATACCTCAGTGTTGATGTAGCAAATGCAATTAATAACAGCCTCATGGGGCTGGGGAAGGTCTCTAACCACTGTTAACTTAATTGCTCTGCCCCAAAGCAAGAGAACAGATTGGAAATGTTTCAAAAGTCTCTGTTTAGCTTTTTCTTAGCAACCAAACCTCTGCTGGTAATCCACTGCAGAACCCTGGGGTTTATTTTTTCAAGGAATTTTGTGTTCTTTAACTAAAATCTCCCACACTACAACTTAAGCCTGTTACATCTGTCATATCCACCGTGGCCACAAGGAACAGATGATTTCTGTCCTGCTCTCTGCAGCAACCACTGATTGAAGGTGGTTTTCCATGTCCCCTCCAGACATCTCCTGCTTCAACCTTGCTTTTATTTCATCCAGTCTTTTCATTTCAGTCCTTAGGGTTCTGTTATTGTTCTCCTATAGGTTCTCTTCAGCTGCCTGCTCTGTTTTCTCTGGTGCTTGCACAGCTGTTTCTGCTCCAGTTCAGGTTGGGGGGAAATCTCAGAGTTAAAAAAAGCACAACAAGATGAAAACTAAAATAAGCAGAAAAAAAAAGACTGGGATTTGTGAGTGTTCTGGAGTCAGTGATAAGCTTTGTTGGGTCAGTGTTGTCCTGTGGACTGTGAATTAACTTGATGAAGTTTTGTTGGTCATTAGTACTTGATTGGGGGCTAATTCTGACAAAGACCAGACATTTGGTCTTTGACAGAAACAGATAAAAATTAGTGAGAATCAGTGAAACTAGTTACTGAAGGAAGAAATTCTTTGCAGTGAGGGTGGTGAGAGCCTGGCCTAGGTTGCCCAGGGAAGCTGTGGCTGCCCCATCCCTGGCAGTGTTGAAGGGCAGGTTGGATGGGGCTTGGAGCAGCCTGGGCTGGTGGGAGGTGTCCCTGCCCATGCAGGGGGTTGGGACTGGGTGATCTTTAAGGTCCCTTCCAAACCATTCCATGACTGGTGTGTTTATAGCTAATGTATCCAATTAACAAGGAGGTCTGCAGAGAAAATTATGAGCTTTGCTTACATCTGCATGTGCTCCTACAAGCTGTCCTGGATTTTACCCACTTTAACTAACTGTGAAGGTGCCTTTTTGCCTTCTGGGCAGCTTGAATCTGCTGTGGTGAGAAACACTCCTGCTTTCTCCCCTTCTGATCCACTTAAATCCACTTCCATCCCCTTGTGTTCTGACTGGGAGGTGTGCAGGTCTTTCATTTGGATTCTGCAGGAGCCTGAGCCCTCTGGGCTGCCAGTGCCCTACAAATTGCTACTATTAGGTAAAATAGGTGCTTTTGCAGATATCTTGAGAATAATTTGTGCCTGGCACATAATGAATAGGCAGGATGGATGGTGCTTTTGTGGTCTTAACAAACTGAAGAAGGGTGTGGGGAGAAAAGGTGTGGGAGAAAGGATCCAGGTGGCAGTGAAGAAGGAGGAATTAAGGGCATTATCCTTATAAGAAAAGGAGTGCTTGGTACTTGTGAGACAAAGACTCCCAGTTCTTTAGAAAATATAAGTATGGGTTGGCAATTTTACAGCTGGGCCAATCTCAAGAGCAGCTGCTGCTGAAAAACATGATCCTGCTCTCTTTTATTCTTCACTCATGTCACATTTAGCATTTGCAGGACCCTGGAATGAATCAATCTGAGGAGTTAAAGTGGCAAGAAATTGTCAGGAATGATGTTGGCTTAGCTGCCCAGTAGAATCATGGAATGGTTTGGGTTGGAAGGGAGCTTAAAGATCATCTGGATCTAACCCCCTTCATGAGCAGGGACACATACTATGTAGTGGGATGAGGCAAGCACCCTGAGTGCTGTGTGGTGGGAGATGAGTCTACAGGGAGGGGAAAGTGCTTCCCTCATAGCACCTTCCAGTGCCTGAAGGGGCTCCAGGAAAGCTGGGGAGGGACTTGGAACAAGGGCAGGGAGTGACAGGACAAGGGAAAATGGATTAAAACTGGCAGAGGGGAGACTGAGGTTGGAGATGAGGAGGAAATTCTTTGGTGTGAGGGTGGTGAGAGCCTGGCCCAGGTTGCCCAGGGAAGCTGTGGCTGCCCCATCCCTGGCAGTGTTGAAGGGCAGGTTGGATGGGGCTTGGAGCAACCTGGGCTGGTGGGAGGTGTCCCTGCCCATGCAGGGGGTTGCATGTAGATCATCTTGAAGGTCCCTTCCAACCCAAACCAGTCTGTGATTCTATGATGACTTGGATGTAGCCTGGAACTGCAGCTGATTCCCCCAGGTGATGGATGCAGCTGTGTGGAACAGGTTTTTAGGAAGTGCCAAACAAGAGCACTCTCATGTGAGTCGTTAAAATGATTAATATGCAAATGCTCCCTAAGGCTGGGATGGGAAATAAACCTTTCAGCCAGCCAGGGAACTGTCCCAGCTTTGCAGTGATGTTGCTGTCTGCAGGGTGGTGGGCATGCTCAGCTGATGGGTGGGCAGGTGCTCTGCTGCTCTGGGTGTCTCAGCAATTCACGAGGTTCAGGACTGAAGTGCTGAAACCATTTCCTTCCAGCCTGATGACCAGTGTGCGCCCTCTGCAGGGGATGGTGGAGTCTTCTGAGAGCAGTGGACAGTTGGCATTATTAATGATTATTTCTTCATTTAAGTAGGGCCCATTCTATAAGGTGAGACAACTGGAGAAAGGCCAGGAACATCTGACATTCATTCTCAATTCTCTCTGAGTTACCAACCCTGCAGACCAAGGGTGCCACCCTTTTGTATAACCCTAAGCACACCAGCAGCCCTTCTGGAGGTGAAGGGGATCCAGAGCTGCCTTAGGCCAACTTGGATTTGAAGGGGAAGCAATCAAGTCTTTGCTTTGGGACTCTTAAAATAAGACTGGGAAGGGGTTGCTAAGCTTTCTTGGCTTTTATATTTCCAGTGTCTTCAAATCCCAGAGGCCACTGCAGCAGGAAAGAACTGCCAGCAGCTCCTCAGCAAGTCTTGCTGCCTCAGGCTGAAGAGGATCAAAGCAGAGGTAGGAATTGCCTCTGAGGTGACTTCACCCTCCAAGCCCACAGCGTCTTGAAGCTGCAGGGTAGGTAGAAGATGCCATATTCTGTAGGAGAAAAGAGCTGAGAGCTCTTTGGTTTGGTTCCTCAGGGCAGGATGTCGGAGCTGAGCGACGAAGCCAGCGAGTCGGAGCTGCTGAGCCGCAGCCTGTCCATGTGGCACGGGGTGGGACAGATGATCTGTCGGGAAGAGCTGGATGTTCCCCTGGATTTACACACAGCCTCCTCTGTCGGGCAGTATGAGGTGGTGCAGGAGTGTATCCAGCGGTAAGGAGGGGCTGGGAGGGCACTGGGACCTGCTGCCCTGCTGCCAGTTGGGTGTTGACTGGCTGCTCTGCAGGTCACTGCGTGGGGGCACAGCACTGCAGCTCCTGAGGTGGCCTCAGGAAAGGCTAAGAGACCTGGGGCTCTTAAGTCTAGAGTGGAGAAGACTTGTGGGGGGGATCTTAATGTCTATAAATACATGAGGGCATCAAGAAGGCAGGGATGGTCTCTTTTCACTTATGTCCTGTGATAGGATGAGGGGCAATGGACTCAGACTCAAGCATAGGAGGTTCTGCCTTAACATAAGGAAGAACTTCTTTACTGTGAAGGTGCCAGAGCCATGGGGATAGGCTCCCCAGAGAGTTTGTGGAGCCTCCCTCTCTGGAGACTTTCAGGACCTGTCTGGATGCCTTTCTGAGTGATCTGCCCTAGTTGTGTGTGGTTTTTGGTCCTGCTCTGGCAGGGGGGTTGGGCTCAATGATCTTTGGAGGTCCCTTCCAACCCCTAAGATTCTGTGATGCTGTGAATAAAGTATCAAGGGGAAGGTCTGCTAATAATAATTACCTCCTTAATGGTTAGGTGGAAGTTGTTCTTCAGTCAGTAGGAATTCCCACAGAGGTTTCAGTGCTAGAATTTTCTTCTGCCATCTTTCAATCCAGGGATGGCAGCAAGAGGCTGCAGGAGCCTCCTGTGATCTGCAGGTCTGGGACAGTAGTTCAGCTGAACTCTTTTCTCTGTTCTGTAGTGGAGATCTGGATTTAAATAAGAGGAATTGTGGTGGCTGGACTCCACTGATGTATGCCTCCTACATTGGCCATGACACCATTGTGCACCTGCTGCTGGAAGCAGGAGTGAATGTGAACATCCCAACACCAGAGGGACAGACACCACTCATGCTGGCCTCCAGCTGTGGAAATGAAAGTGTTGCTTACTTCCTTCTACAGGTGTGTCCCATAATAAGCAGGTAAAGCCACCTGACATGGTTTAATTTTTCCCCCAGTTGCAATTCATGTTATGTTGGGAGTTCAGTGTCCTAACAGGGATTTAAACTCTTGGTATCATAGCACAGAGGGCAGGGGCTAAGAGAGCCCCAGAAGAGGGGATACAGTAAAGAACATTTTTTGTTCTCTTGAAGCAAGGTGCAGAGCTGGAGATGAAGGACATTCATGGCTGGACTGCTTTGTTCCACTGCACCAGTGCTGGACATCAGCAGATGGTCAAGTTCTTACTGGACAATGGGGCAAATGCCAACTGCAAGTAAGGAGGAATCTGTCATTTGATGTCTTGAAAGATCTCTTGGATTGTAAATGGTCCATGAGCCAGGAATGTGCCCTTGTGGCCAAGAAGGCCAATGGAATCCTGGGGTGCATTAGGAAGAGTGTGGCCAGTAGGTTGAGGAGGTCATCCTGCCCCTCTGCACTGCCCTGGTGAGGCCACAGCTGGAGAACTGGGACCAGTCTGGGCTCCCCAGTTCAGGGAACTGCTGGAGAGAGTCCAGGGGAGGGCAACAAGGATGCCTGGGGGGGTTGGAGCATCTCTCTGAGGAAAGACTGAGAGAGCTGGGACTGTTCAGCCTGGAGAGGAGAAGGCTGAGGGGAGACCTTATCAATGCCTGGAAGTATCTCAGGGTGGGTGCAGGAGGATGGAGCCAGACTCTGCTCAGCAGTGCCCAGGGACAGGACAAGGGGCAATGGGCACAGCCTGGAACATGGGAAGTGCCACTGAAATATGAGGGAAAACTTCTTTCCAGTGAGGGTGACAGAGCCCTGGGACAGGCTGCCCCCGGGGGTGTGGGGCACCCGCCTCTGGAGAACAC